TCCTGGATTGTTTTTTATCCTGCGAACATTTAAAGCATAAACTCTAATCGAAATCCTTCTTCCCCAGACACTGCTTTGATCCCTTCCTGTGGGACCTGTTTGTGCCACACAGCATTCTCTGATAAGCCTTAGAACCGGGCAGCAATTACACTAGTAATTACACAAATACAAAACCTTGACCTTGCACTTGATTTACCTGACTCTGTGCTTAGCCTCAGAGTTAAACTTCTGTCGGCGTTGTGCGCATAAACTAAAACAGACACAGTGATACACAATCTTGTACGCACAAATGTACAACAAAAAGTAAAAGAAGGAAGCCTTATGCTGAATGTACAGACAGTATAGTTTCTGTGGAGTTGCATGATGTGCCATCCCAGCAGCCGGTATAGAGGTGTGATCTCACAAGGTGAGTGGATGCTGGAGGAGAAGGCTGCCTTGCGGTCAGCAGGGAGGCAGCGGGCCTCAGGGAAAAGCTCTTAACTTCTGTCAGGCACAAATAACCACGCCATTTTTCACCTCCTGATTTTTAACTGAGAAAATCACTCCGGTCCCCAGTCATATGAACTCTACGCACACGCCATGAGTCAATTCTAGCTCTGACAGCAAGGAGTTCACTCTAACCCGCCAATCTTTAGTTTTTCTGTGTCGCAGGGCCTTTTTTCTTTCACAGTGTGGTGGTTTTAAATAATAGGCAAAATATACCCATCTTAAACTATAGACTGTATGAATGCATTACTCTCTAATTATAGTATCTATGGGGATGAGTATAGTGTGACAACTCTGGCTGTCTTGAATTCATGCTTTTGTGACCAAGAGGCTACAGCATGCAGTCAGACTATTTATGAAAAATAAATATCAATTGTCTGTTACCTCAGAAGCATCTTTTTTTAATTCTCAGGTTGCAGATAGTTCTGAAATTACTGAACAGCATGAAATGCATAATTGTTATCAATGTAAATTGTAATGTTCATTGTAGCTTTTGATATGGGTATAGGCAGAACACTCTTTATTCCTACATCTTTGTTAAAATTACATTGAACAAATTAGTAGAAAAGGCAGATTTAAATAGTGTATTACATTCAATCACATGAATGCGTTCATTATTTAGCTTGCAAAGGAATTCCTCTTTATACAGAAATTACACATAATGTGTTCACAAACTATGAGTGTGGATTTACTGTGGTCAAGCTGCTGCTAGGTGGTGCTATTGGTAGCACTGTCTTTGAGGGAGAGACTGCACAAGTGAAGCAACACTGTATTTACCAAAATCATCTAAAACCATCTAGTAAGTAGCTATCCTGCAGTTTAATTTTTATATATATATGTATATACTGTACAATATATAGTACTCCACAAGTTTGCTGAAACAACACCAACCAGCTACCTTCCAGGTTTTCACGCCTGAGACACTGATTCCTAAAGTGAAAATATATAAGAGAGGGTGCCCTCGTACTTGAGTATGTTGCCATACATCACATCATTTAACACTTTGAACTGTCAGAAATGTGTCACTCTGTCTCTCTCTTGATACCTTCATCTGTCAGAGTGAAATCATAAATACAATCATTTCCCCAATGTTGGCTCTTTATTCTGTCAACCGTTTCAAAATGTGACTGTGCCTCTTCATTTCCGACGCATGAATAAGTGAAAGGCCATTAATATGTCTCTTTCATTACACTCTGGCACTCTGCACTGCATGAGCATGCAAAGAACTGTGTTTGCTGGGCTTGGGTTCTGATGTCCGATTTGTAAGGCAACAAAGATATGTCACTATGTCCGCATGAAAAACAAGTGTCATTCTGAGAATTCATATTTTTGTTCCTGCTGTTTAAAGAGACAGCTAGTGGAGTGCAAGGAGACGAGTAAATCTCATAAATTTCATAGATCTGCTTTAAATTATGAGTAAAATGTTTGCACTCGTCTGAATGAATGACTTTTATGTAAACACAGCTGAACTTATATAGAAAATTAATAAAAAATTAAAAAGTAAACTTCTGTGCCTGATTGTGAGTTTTAAACAAACATTTTCCAAAAATGAACTGTACAAACATTGTGAATACCGGCCAAATGGGTCAAACTTATTTTCTGTGTTTTGTTTAAAGATCACCCTGTAGTCTCATTTCCCCCCCCTCTTTTCTATCGCCATTCCCAAGACAAGATTAGAGGGGAAACTCATCAGTCTCCTTGGCTGTTGTCTGATAAACTTTTTATTTGAAGGGTGTCCTGTCGGGTGTCTCTGGTGTCTTCCTCCAGTGCACTCCTGATTTGAAATATAGCCTTACATAATGAGGGAGAAAAATAGAGCGGTGTTGCACCCCTGAGCCGGTGTCAGCTTAATCAATCATTTTTAAACACAGGCAGGCATGCTTACTCTACTCGCTTCACATCCACCACATCCTTCCCCTGTTCAACAATGTGACAGCAGCATAATTCATTTTAACTCAAAAATTAAACAGGCAGCATCAAACTTGTCCCGGCATCCTTTTGTTTTAAACACAGCACAGTGTGTTGGTCTCAGTGTGTTTGTGTTGCTTTTGTTAGTGCATATCTAAACATTATAATAAAAAATAAAATGCATAAATTTCACAAGATAAACATAATTTCTAATGCTTATCTAACGAAATGTATACACACATGTAAGGAGTGTTTAGATAAGTCAGTGTACATTTTAGAGTTACAAGTGTTAGTGTCATACCAGACATGCAGACATGTGCTGCTTTGTGTGTTTGTATTTTTCAGAGATAAAATTGTGAGTCTGCTTGCAAATCTGTAGTCTCTCAGCTTGGATGCTGAACATGCAACAGGCGTGGAATGGTAGTGTGGGGTTCACACGGTCAAATTGCAGTGGGTCAGGAGGTCAGGGAAATTTGGAGGGCGCTAAAGCTGAGCAGAAGGAATGGAACTCTTCGCTTGGCAGTGAGAGATTCCTTCTGGCTTTCTGTCAAAAAGTTGTCCTTCAGTGCAGCACAGCTCCAAAAGTTATATCATGCTCTTGCTATATGCAAGGAGTGCAGCACTGGAAACATGAAAACATGTGACTAAACTTAACTTAAAATACTACCTGTTTTTGGTTCTTTTTTAAAATTACAATTTAGCATATTCAGTATTTTTTACATAGATTAAACATCTCACTTTAATGTAGTCATGTTTGAGTCATCCACACCTGCACATGCTCAGTGAAGCTGAAATGAGTTGACTTAATTACTAGACAGCAGCATTGTAAACCATTGTGCTTGCATCTCCATCTCAGTGTCATATTTGACACTATTAACTTGAATGTAAATCACATGTAAGTCACTTCACTAATGTAATAATCAAGCTTGAAAACAAACAAATAAATGAAAGGTCAACACCAATTACAACAGCTGCACTTAACTTTAGTAATCATTTTCACTTTGCCAATCAACTAAATAGCTAACCCAACACTAAGCAGAGGAGATAAAATCTAAGACACTGGATCCAAATAAAGGACAAGATGAGAAGCTACCACAGCTTTTAAACAAACAAACAAAAAAATACTGGCACGATGCTAAAATGCTAAATACAAAGTACATTACATTTCTGCCAGTTTAGAGTTATGTTCTATGCCGGATGTGGATGCAGTCAAACACATTAACATTTATGTGTATAGTTTGGGCCATGTTTAGTCCAGAACCTTAACATGAAAGAAACGGTACGGTAATATAGAATTAAACCACATTAGTTGCAGACACGAGAGCTTTGAAAGAGACAACTGCAACCAGATGGTGTGTAGCATCCTTTCTGTATTTTAAAATATATTCAATTAAGTATGGAGTTTGTTTACCTTTAAAGGAAGGCGTAGGCCTACTGGTTTCAATCATATGTGATCATCAAGGGGGATAGACTGTTGTTAAGTGGATGATGGTAATTCTCATTAAGACAATCCTTGAACACTTGAATACAACCTTGCATAATCAGCCTAATTAATATTAGTTTACACATTGTATAGAGATATATAGGCCTAGTATTTAAAGAGATAACACCTCTCCTCTATGCTTTGATCACTTTGTAAATTCATTAGTTTGGAGCATAGTGATTTATTTTCTTAAATTCCGGACTTCCCTATCAGCAGTCTGGCTCTGTCAGGAGAGGGCAGGGCCATGTCAAAGTCCACGTGCACCGCTTTGAAGAGGCGGGGTTCCGCCTCAGCTTGCCCGCTGATCACATGCAGAAAGCATGGTGTTTGTAATTGCTGCGCAACAAGCTGCGCACGGACGCCGGTTGCCGGAGTGACGTTCGATGCCAGCTGTATCTCATTCTCTTCAAACTGCATGTCAATCTTTAACTTTGATCAGGCAGAGCGGAGACACGCAGGTTATTCCGCGAGCAAAGGGAAGAGTCGTCTCATGTGCTCGAGCAGACTACTCAGAAATGCAGTGCGCTCCTCCCACAGGACGGTGGAGACAATGATGATGATGATGATGATGATAATGGTGGTGGTGGTGATGATGAAAATAATGTAGAGCGCTCTGTTGAATTCTTAGACATGAAAGTTGAGTTGTTCTGCTGTCGGGAGTAGCCCCACGGACCGCTACATGCTGCAGCCAGGAGTGGCATCCACAGTGAATGCATTAGCAGTAAATAATCCCCGTACCTCTGCAGCGTTTGACTCTGAACTTGCAACCATAAGAAGAAAAAAAAACGCTATTGTGTTGTGTGAATAGAATATGATGCGAGTGATAGTGGCTATATTTAGCTGGATGTGATTTGCAGGTTGTGAATAAATCAAAACAACAACAACAAGAAGTGCAGTTGCCTTGCAAATCAGATTCATGTTTTTCAGTTTAATAGCCCAATAATGTGGTTTAGATGCATGTTATCATGGTGTGTTTTCACCATTTGGGCCAGTTTTCAGTTATAGCACAATCTGCCCAACATGTAAAAAAGATAATACATGGATGTACACAAGTGCCGAGCAAGGTCAGACTAATAAAATATTCCCATTCCCATGTAAAACTGCGCAGGGTCGATCTGCATGGATTACTTTCAGGCCTACATCTATTCTTCGGCTATTGACAACCTCTCCCTTTTCAGTGTGCATGACTGGAGCTCTCACTAGCGCTGCTAGTGGACAATCAAACCTACACACCCACCTCCAGACACACTCGCATTTCTCATTTCTTACTTCTAGTCTAAATTAGATAGCAAGACGTAGTGTCGGAGCTCACAGATCGCATTAGAATTAGTTTCAAGTACTAGCGGTAGTTAAACAGTAAACCTTGAAATTCAACATGGAGTCCCCTCCAGATCCAGCGAGCGACCCGGGCAACAGCGCCTCGGAGCCGGCTACCCCGGTCAGGGAAACCCCGGTAAACCTGGAGTCGCTCCGGAAAGCGGACCATCCAGCCCCGGTTCGAAGGCAGACCTGTTCAAGCACCAACAGAGGTAAGCGGACCCTATTTCGCTTTTTACTGTGTGGGGAATGGAGACGGATCGAGGGTTTTTTTAATCAAACTTCAAAATGAATTAAATCGCTTCCCCCATAAATAACAGCACGCTGTCTAAATTCACCCAACCACACACAGACAGGGCTTTTTTATTTAGTACCACCGCGGCTTTTTCTCTCCTTTTTTGCCCGTTCGCTTGTATTTAGTGCCTCGGTGTGTGTTTGCTGGTGTTCGGGCTCCACTGACAGCTCAAATCATAGGGGGGTGATACGGTCACAGATGTCACATTTACTCCGGCTGCAAGATAAATCAATTACCCAGCAACTTGAAATTGACCAACGGGAGCTTCTCTCCGTGCCAAAACAGGCCAACCTGTCCGCTCAAACGCGATATTGTCAAAGTGTCAAAAGTGAACTTTTGGAGACTGGGGGGGCTAGTTTATCGATCAGAAGCCCTTTCTCCATTTGAGAGGACGTGTCCTCCACTATTACAGACACAGCGCACAGCGATTTTCCAACATCTTCTAGCTCCCAATTTTTTTTATTCCTGTGGGCAAAAAGACGCCCCAGCAGCTGGAATTTGTTTAGCTCTCAAACACTGTTGCAAGTATGGAGGCGGTTTGCATGCCTTTTTTTTTTCTTTTCTTGCGACTAAACCTCCACATGATCACACAATAAATACAAAAACTAAAACAGGCCTATAAGATCAATAAGCCCCGTCGGAGGTCTGTCTGTGTGGCTGCTGAGGACCAGTTCATTTTACATGATTTATCCACCACGTCCCGTCCATGTTGTACAGTACAGACAGTATTTAACCACACCCCCTCTCGGCTGTCTCCAGTACAGGCTAACCGGGCTCATCCAAGTTCAAAGAAATAGTGATTTTCTCTGCTGATTCTCGTCAGGCAGAGAGTTGGTGCATACACACGACACTCAGGCAAACGGCGTATATTTGACAATTAATTCATTGCAAGGTGGTGGTTTTGTGTGTGTGTGTGTGTGTGTGTGTGCGCACTCTTCCTGTGCGCAAGGGTATATTTAGAGTGTGATATGGTGAATGTGGAATGTAAGCTGGTTATGTAACAGGTTTAGCCATAAACAGAGGCGCGCAACTGAGAGCAGAAATCATCCTCGCAGATCTTTTTCACTTTATATACAAGAGCTCACCCACTCCCCGTGATCACCACGGTTGTTTAATTAAAAAAAAAACACAACCAGTGCACTTCAGCGGGTATTTATACACCACTGAAGGGAAAACTGTGTGACTTTGTGGGTTGGCACAGCCGGAGCACTTATGTAATAGCGGGGCAAAGACAGGTAGTAGTTGGGAAGCTTCGTGGATTGATTTCTTTTTTTTTGCAAGTCTGACTTTGAGACACTCCTAACCTGCTGACCCATATTCACCCCACCCTTTTATGCACAGGATTAAAGTGCGTCTGGGAAAGAGAAAGACAGGAAAAAGAACGCCTTCGGTCTGTTATGTAATGCTGAATGGATGAAAAAAAAAAAAAACTTGTTCTGTGGGAGAACCTCTGCAGCTTTAAAGGAGTTTCCCTGCACTGTAACTTTATTTTGACCCTTTTCAAAGAATAAGAACGATTATCTGAGAGTTTTAGCAGCAGGAGGCTTGAAGAAAAAGTTTTGAGAACTTTTTAAGAACTTAGATTTTGTACTGCAAGTCAACATTTGTCTGAAATGGGTTGTGAATAGATTCCTAAATTCTTTCATTCTCTCATGTGTAGTTTATATCTCAATGTGCATTAGCCGTTTCAACGTTTTAAAAAGACTGTGGTAACGAGAGGACATTCATTCAGAAACATTAAGAACTGTAGCTTTAATGTGCAGTTATAACTTAAAATGTAGGAGTGTGTTTACAAGACATTATAACACTGCCACAGTCAGCCTATATTTTCTTTCAAGGACGCTTAACTGGGCTCACAAAGCAGATTCTTTATAAATGTAATAATGTACAAATATTCAGAACATTCCCCATGCAGGAAAGCGGAAGAAAAGTTTTGCTGCCATAAAGAAATGACGGCTTAATTGCTTTATTTAATAAAGCATCGACGTGAAAGTACAAGTGTTCTATTAATAAGTAACTGGTTGGTTTTTTGTGTCGGCACAGTTCAGTGCAGGATTACTCAAAAAATAAAACAATTAAAAAAAAATGGCTCACTGTAGTGTTAGACATTTTTTAGGATTACAGTTCTACGCTCAGACTCAGACTTTTCAGGCCAGCCGCAGAAACCAACATCTGAAAGGCAGCAGACACTTGCTCAAGCGCAGTTTCCTTCTTTACACCAGCTGTATTAGACTTTCTGAGGATGCACATTTCTTATCCTGCATGCAGAGCGTTTACTGTTTTAACCCTGAGTGCTAATACCTTTTAAGTAGAAAGGGCTTACTTCAGCAGAAGCTCTGCTGTAAGACTTGAGTGGGTCAGAGAACAGGCCTTGGAGGGCTGTGGATATCATTACTGGAAAGAAGAAAGGGTGTTATTTTCATATTGCAAGATCCCTCCGTTCGCAAATTTGGAAACAATCAATATTAATGGCTTGGTTATGTAAGGTCATGGTCTCTGCAGAGGCCTGAAACCTCACAATTGCACAGGGAAGCTTTGAAGCCGCAAATCTGATAAGAGCTCTGGTGTCCTGGATCCTCTGTTAACATGACTTTGTTTGAGTGTCAAAAGAGTGTGTGTGTACAGTACGTGTGTGTTGCCTTACTGTAGTAGTAGATTTCACTAAATGACACGGACTACTATACGCTTGTTTTCTTATGCCACACAAATGCTTGTCATTGTCGTTTACACTGACAGTGAGTCATCTGAACATCATTTTGCCTTCATTGGGAGAAAGAGGTGGATGCTACTCATGAAAGACAAAAAAACAATATGTTGCTTTAGACATTGTGAAAGTTCTCACCATGTAATGTGGTTTCCTACAGTGGAGAATATTAAAATGCGTCCTGCTTATTGGCCTGCCTCAGTGTCATATCAAGATTGAATCTCCTTTGATCTTTTCATACAAAATACCAAGTATTGTTTTGTTACCATTTTCATAAGGTAGACAAAAACAAAGTTTTAACTGTTGGTTTCATTTTGAGAAGCAAATCTTACCTGATGCTGCAGTTTTTGTTGCTAATCCAAACTGAAAATAAAAAGTATAAAAATATTCAGTCTTCTCTTAATGAACACGTAACCAGACTTTCATCCAGCAGTTTTATTTTTGGGCAGCGGAATGAGAGCTCTTGGCTAGACTGGCAGCATTTATTTAGTTGTTGTTGACACAAGACGGATGAGGTGCAGAGACGCAGAGGCTTTTAAAAAAAGGTTTTATACAAAATCTCAGAAAGCCAGGAGTTGGCATTGGTTTTTCACGCCACTCGGGTGGACAGCAACATTGTTGGGGCTGTGGCATTCTCAAATTCAATGAATTAGGGCTCTCTGCCCGCTGGAGAGCATGAAGATACAGGTATAGGCTTATAGCTGAGCCTTCAGCTCGGACAGATCCGGCAGAGGAACTCCATTAGGTGTTCCTTTTTTTCTGGCTGGCTGCCTGTAACATAATATTGAGTTTCAGTCCTCCTGCGTTTTCAATTCTTATGTCTGGGTGAGCTGATAATATCATGAACTGTTTTATTGGTACCTGTCAGACAGTTAACGTTGTTAAATGTTAACAATCAGCCTATTTGAAGTCAAAACTGAGTATTTGATTTATTCACATTAAGTTCTTCTCAGACCGACAGTACTGTATGTAAAACATGAGCCAATTCAACTGAAAAAGATGAGGAGTATTTCTTCGATGTTACGTTGAACTGTTGCATAGGCGGTGACATCTGCTCCTAGCTTAGACTTTGGCACCGATACCTTTGTTATGAGCTTCAAAGGTCAAATTACATTTGAGCAGCAGCATGCTTATCTAAGGAGGATGTACCTGTGAAATGTCAACATAACATCAGGATTAGTAGTTAAATGCGCACTGATTGAGATTTCGTCATATCAGGTGTGATGCTCTTTCTTTCTCGCCGTCAGTTCAAAAATAAGTAACAAATTGTATAAAATAATGAGACATGATTTTGGCTCAAATTGTCCTACTTATGTATACAGTGCTGTGAATTGGTCTTTAGTTTTTAGGTCCCATGAAATGAAAAATCCCGCTTCTCTTTTCCTTACCTCGTTTCCCTCTGTGGATTGTTTTGTTCTCTATCGTCATTTGCCAAAAATGTTAAAAGCGTGTTTGGTTATTTTATATCATAAACCAGTTCATTGCCAGTAAAGTTTCAATGAAATGTGATCATTGATTTTACACATATAGTCAATAAGTTTACCTTTGTAATAAAGATAATTAGCATTAGTAGAATAATACAGACCAGTAACCTTGTTTCCATTTCTGAAAGTGTATCAGTTGTGATATAAATGACTCAAATTTACTTGTTAACTCATTATATTAAAATATTTAAATGAAGTCCCTCCTGATTTTAAGTCCTGTCTTAATACCCTGCTTTTGGGGAAGATTACACTGACAAAGGCAATTTATGGGACCTAGCAAATAGTTTTAGTGCTTTTTAAATAGACATTTGAAGCGTTTTAGCTCCGCTAGTTAAGCTATAGTGCAAGGCTGAAATGTGACTGGCACCTTTTTAGTCAGATGGTTAACCACGTTGGTTTAGTTTGGTGTATCTGTGTGGCATCTAGGGGGCACTAAGAGAGTTTTAAGATATTTTTTTGTAATTTTCTTTGGAGCATTTAATCAGCCGTATCTACGAACTGGAGGGTTTTCAAATCATGCAATTACCTGTGATTGTTTTCTGTATTTGATCCGAGGGAAGCTGAATGAAAGGACTCCTGTGGATGTATTGTAGGAAATTGCCTTGTACACACACTGCTGGTTCTCCCCAGCCAGTGAAAATGTACACACACTGGCAGGACGATGCTAGCTGTTAACTGGCATACCGTAGCCTGAGTACTCAGTCCATCACGCTTTCTGTAAGTTTAAAC